CTGGGCTGCAGCCAGCAGGCTGACCCATTCAGCTCCCATGTCAGAGCCTGGGCAGCCGTGGGGGCTGGTCCCGTCTCCCGCCCCTGCTCAGCATGCTCTGATCTATGCACGTTTCAGTTCTGTGACATAAATCAATAAAGTGCACTACATAAATTAAGTGAGCAGCAGAACTGTAAATAGATTTCAGAGGGAGAACAGAGAGAGGTTGAGGGAACCAACAAGAGACTATTATAGGAACTGAAGTGAGAAATGACTCAGGCAGGACTCAGGATTGTGGCCACAGAGCCACCACGCCGTTACACAGCACTGAAATATCAAACAAATGAAACCTACAAGCTTTGGACATTGTTCCACAAAAATTGCCAGCTGGCGGCTGCCAGAAACCCCAGCTTGCTGGGAAATGGGCAGGGAGCAGGGAGCAGGGATGACTTAAAACCCAGCTCAGCTCAGCTCAGGTAGGCGGCTTCCGAAAGTCAGGATCCAGGATTTTGAACCCAAATGGGCTACCCAGTATCTGTAATGGGGCCCCTGGTCCTCATTCATTCATTCATTCATTCACTCATTCACTAAACCTCTACTAAATTCTCGAAGTGTGCCAACCGCATCCGGGTCACGGGGGCCACAGGAAGGACAAGACCCAGTGCCTGTCCTCAGGGAGGGTCCAGTCTGCCGGACGCAATGACCTCAATGCAGTGTGATGGGTGCTAACAGCACCAGGCACAGCAGGTACCTCCGGGGCTCAGGGTGGCGTTTCAGAGGAGGTCATGTCTAAGTTGGGTTTTAAAGGGTAAACAGAAGCTTGCGAGGCCGACAGGACGTAAGGCAGCCCAGGCAGAGGGAACAGCACATGCAAAGGTGCAAAGGCCTGAGAGACGATGGAGAGTGTGGGGGAGTGTGTGCAAGTAGGGAGCCAGGCTGGCGCCAGGCCAGGTAGGGCATCGTAGTGTAGAAGGTGGGGTGAAGACGGCAGGCAGGCCCTGGGTCTCGGAGGACCGTGACCGCGGAGCTAAAACGTCCTGTGTGAGTGAGAGGCCCGAAAGGATTTTAAGGCGGAGTTGGATGTAGTTGGATCTTCATTTGAGACAGATAATTAAGACTGCAGTACGGGGAGTTTTGTTTTACTTCCCATTGTTGTCTCCCACAGATACAGAACAGTGTGTGCATGGCCAGTGTGTGGCCAAGGAGCCCGCACGGACTGAGCACAGCTGTGTGACCAGCACCCACGCTCCCATTTGGTCCCGCCTACCCTTCGAGGATGACTGCTGTCCTGGCTCCTAACTGTAGAGATTTCTTTTGTCTGGTTTCCAGTTTTATAGAAACGGAATCACATAGTATGTGTTCTTTTGAATCTGGCTTCTTTTGCTCGACCTCCAAGCCGCTGGGAGCGGTCGTGCAGGGTTCTCGGTGCCGTGAGGTCTCCACCCACTGTTGACGGGCCCTGAGGAATCGCAATGGGGAGGTATCTGAGCAGCCTGACAGCAAACCTGAACTGTGCGTGCGAGGCTCAGCTTGTTCATCCACTCATTTGTCCACCCACTCACTCTTCATTCACTCACAGCGAGAGCCCACCTACCTGTGAGGGCAAGCTCCCACCTGGGGCTTCGGACCTGGGAACTTCACACCTTGACATAGGACTGGGCACAAATCTTTGCTGGGAAATGTGGTTGAGGTGGCGGTGGGCAGAAACCCGAACACCTCCATGGACTCTGAGCAGGGGTCTGAGGTGCAGCAAGGGGGCGTCTCTGCCCACCGCGGGAGCCCTTCTGCCAGGTCAGACCCTGTCTGCCCGGCTGTCTCCCGCCTCTGCAGGGCAGCCCCTCCGCCTCACCCACCCTCACTCCCCAAGGCCCAGCCCAGGGCTTGCCACACCATTGGTGTTCAGGGGTGAAAATGGTGGCACACAGAGGGTGCTCTACTGGGGTCTGGCGAGGGAAGGAAGGTTTGCTACCTTACCCAAACATTTAATGGGTCCCTTCTGGGTGACAGTTACCAGGGGAGACCTGGACAAGCAGTTCACGCAGCGGGAATGGTATACACCATTAGCGAGTCCCAAACACACATACACCCAAAGGTCTAGCTGGGCCAGTCCCAGCACAAGCAGCTGCCAGCCGTCCTCGAAGGCCACAATCAGGCCCGGGTGCGGCAGCACACCCTCTCTGCCTCCGTTTCCCCAACTGTAAACTGGGGGTTGAATGAGCTGGTGTGTGCAGAGCTCTCAGAATGGTACCGGGTGTGCGGTAAGCATTGCCTGGGCCAGTTAGCGTCTGTGCCATGGTTACCATCCTATTTTGCAGACCAGGAGGGAAGTCTCAGCACAAGCAGATGCAGGGGAAAATTTGGTAGATGAATGTTCTTCCAGCAGCCATTGACCCCCGACTCCTGTGTGGCCCTGAACAAGCCACTCCTCTCTGTAGCTCGGGCCCCTCGCCTGTGAAATGCACAATGTGGGGAGGGCACAGTGAGGGGCCCGCTCCTGCAGGTACCTCTGGGAGGGCTGGGCTGGGGGGGCTGGGGGAGCTGAGGAGAGGCCACTGAGGCTGCCACGAGTAAGCCCCCGACCCCAGGAGAGCTAGAGTACCTGAGAGGTAGCAAGTGTATGAAAATCATCCTGCAACTTGAGGGCAAAGCCAGCCCACTCAGCCTCCTCATAAACTCTTTACAGACACAGCCAAAGGTCCTCAGTGTGGCCACCAAGCCCTGAAATCCCGGGGCCAACAAGACATGGAAATACACCCTCTCTGGGGCCCTCGGTCCTCGTTGAAGAAGCAGGACTGAAGGTCTGGTGTTTCCAGAAGGAGGCACAGCACTCCATCTGTCACTGCATAAGGGCACACACATGCACACAACCACATATGTGTGCACACCTGTGCACACATATCCACATGTGTGCACCGTCGTGTGCACACACATTATCCACACATGCTCGCACTTGAACACACATCTTCCCACATGCTCACATAGCACGCACACACACACTCAGATTTGCACACATGCCCATTCTTCCGTGCTCACGCATCAGTAAGAACGTGCACATACGTGAGACACATGCATAGCATTTTCCCAGGAGCACCTGTGCATGGATGCACACACTCGGCCTTGATGTGGGGGTGTGTGCACACAGGCCCTGCTCCCCGGAAGCCAGACTTGGAGCCCAGTTGACCCTGGAACTCCACGGCCCTGGGGGTGGTGGGGGGAGCCCCTGGAGGGCTGCCTCCAGGTAGCAGCTTCTGAGACGTGGTGCAACAGAGGGGTACAGAGCGTGGGCTCTGCCCCTTGAGATGTGAGACTTAAATTGCTTAATGTCTCTAAGCCTCAGTTGCCTCATCTGTCGAGTGGGGTGAGAATGTCAGCCCCTCCCTCACAGGCTGTGGGGACGTTTCTCAGGTAAAACACATGAAGTGTCTGGTGCAGGGCCTGGCACACAGTAACTGTTCAGTAAACATCAGCTGCTTATTAGCAGGCAAATTCATAATACTTCCCAGAGACCTCAGCTTGGAAGCCAGGCTGGAGAGGCCCAGCCCAGGACTTCAGGGAGGCTGCTTGGAGCGACTACAGAGACACAGCCACGGGGAAACCAAGGAAACGGGAGGCCGTCCCCACTGCCCAACGCTTGCTCAGAGCGGGGCCTGAGGGCCCTGTGAGTTCCCTGTCATGTGTCCCTCAGTCTCATCGACTGCCGCTTGCCTAGAGCTCTCCAAGGAGACCGTGTCTGCGGAGCGGAAATATCACAAGCCTCTGTGACGTCAGAGACACAGCCCTCTGGGTCCTGAACCTCCTGACCCTACACAGAAACCATGAGCTCAGTCGTACTGTGGGGGGCGGGGTGGTGGCCACGTGCCCTGGACTTAAGAAATTCACCTGAACCAAGACATGGGGACCCCTAGGTCGAGGCAGTTCACATGACAGGACTCCTGCCCTGGTCCACCCAGCCTGGCTCCCGGGACCAGAGCCCTCTCTCATCCCCGGGCTGTCTGAGGACACCTGCCGGCTTGCCCTCCCCTGGCAGATGTCCTCCTTGGTGGCAGAGGGGTGGTGGCCACACCCCACGGCCCTGCAGCAGCGAATCATCCTATATCTTCTCCTGGTCTTCCACTAGAATAAAACCCCTGACTTTTAGCTGAGGACAGAATTGCCCAAGATAAAGGCCCCATTTCCCAGCCTGCCTTGCAGCTAAGTTCTGGCCAAGGGGACACGAGCAGGTATCATAGGGCAACTTCTGAGAACCTCAGCGTGGACCTGCAGGCTGTGCCTTTGTCCTCTGCCCTGTGTCCCTCCTGCTGCCTCGAATGCAGATGTGACCACCGGAGCTGTCTCCAGCAGCTTAGACCATGAAGACGGAGGCCATGGGGGTGATGGGGAAGGGCAGCAGGGGCCTGGATCCTGAGGACTTCATGGAGCAGAGCCTCCCTGGATTGCCAACTTTCAAACCATTGAGAGGTAAGTAAATTTCTCCCCTGAAGCCAGGTATTTTGGATCTCGATTACTTGCAGCAGACCCCGACTGCTGTGCCTCCCCAACACGCGGGCTGCTCTCAATCACCCTCCTGCTGCCCTGCGTGACTCCGAGCGTCACCGTGGGCTCTGAGTCCCTGCTGCTGGGCCCTGCACACCAGTGAGACTTCTCTGCACAGCAGTGTCCAGGTAGCTGGACCTCCCCACCCGCTAGACGACAGAGAAGGGACATCGGGCTTCCTCCCCACCGAGGTCTTGCCTGACCCCAGCTCCCTCACACAGCCTCCCTCCCGCCCAGTCCCAGTGTACCCTGGAAGTGGGGACCTGTAAGAGCTCTCAGCACTGCCCCCCGGGCAGGGAGGGCAAGATGATCCTCCTCTCCCGCTTTCAGCTTTCACTGGCTGCTTGAGAAACTCGGAGCTTTGCCAGCCTGGACGCAGGGGGCAGGTTCGCTGCAGCAGAAGCTCTCACAGGGCTGCCAGCAGCCACCTGGGCAGGGAAGCGTCTCTAGAGAGCGAGGCTTGCACACCTGAGCAGTGCCACACTTACCTTTCTCCGATGCGGGGGCCAGGTCAATGAAGCTGCGACATTTTTCACCTTGAAAAGAAAAGAAGGGCTTTCAGAATGTGAGAGGAAGTGAACGCCGCAGGTTTTTGCCTCTCCCCATCCCGTGAGCCCCGTGGCCGAGGGGGCCCGAGTGTCTCTAACCCAAGTGGCATCTTTCTCTTACACTCATTCCTGGAAAGATCACGTCCCTGCGGAGTGTGGGCTGAACAACTCCCTGTGATGCTGCCTCTTCCCTCACCTCCCGACCCAGTCCGGCCCCGTCACTCCCATCCCCTCAAAGCCCGGGATCCCCTTCCCCGGCCTCCGCGCCATCCACGCCCACCAGGATGAGGGCCACAGGCCCTCTCCAGGCTCCCCGGGGCTCCCCTGGCCTCCACTCTGGCCTCCGTCCAATCCCCTGGCCTGGCCCCACACTGAAGCCAGAGGGATGTTTTTACAACGCACAGCTCTCTGATCGCATCAAACACACATGCTCAGACACACAGACATGCATGTACACACACTCTTGCTCAAACCCCCCTGACCTTTTCCCAAAGGACAAAGGCCACATATTGTTCCTGTGGACCCAGGATTGGCCCCCAGCGGCCTCCCCACCCACACCCCCACCTCCTTCCTCTCAGCTCCTGTGCCCTGGAGTCCCCCCGCACCGTGGGGGCTTCACACAGGCTGTTCCCTCTGCCAGAACCCACTCCCCCCAGTGTAAGCTCTCGTGGCGTGTCGGCCTTCTGCATGGCACCCCGCCACCGTAGAATCCTTCCAGTGTGTGTGGTGCCTGGTGGACGGCCCCCAGGCCGTGACTGCAGGAGGGCGGGCTCCACGTCCTGAGTGCATCCCCAGCTCAGTGAGCAGCGACCCCACCTCCCAGGGGCCCCGGCCAAAGCCTTGATTTCTCCTGCTGTCACTCCACATCTGAGCTGTGGCTCCAGCTTTGCACTGCATCTAGAATCCACCACTTCTCATTGCCTCCACTGGTCCCGCCTCCCGTCGCCCACCTGGGTTTCGGCAGTAGCCTCTGCACGTGCCTCCCTGCTCCCGCCCTTGTCCACACAGTGGCCGGAAGGATCCTGCTATAGCCTAAGATGAGGTCGTTTCTCTGCTCAGCACCCTCCTGTGATTCCCAGCTCACTCGGAGTCAGAACCTGTGTCCTCACCGCAGCCTACAAAGCCCTGTGTGATCTGACCCCTCGTCACCACCCTGACCTCACCTCCTAACCCCCTTCCGCCAGCTCTCGCCACTCCGGCCACCTAGGCCTCCTGGCTGATCCATACAGGGGCCAGTGCTGCTACTTCCACCTAGAGCATTCTTCCCCCAGGTGGCTGGGTAATTGGTTAGTCCTTCCTCTCCTTTACCACTTTCCTCAAACGCTGCCTTCTCAGGGGCCTTTCCTAACTAGTCTATTTAACATTCCAAGCAGCCTGCCCCGATAGTCCTCACATCTCCTCCTGCTGCTCCCTCTCACCTAGAGCAGCGCCTGCTGTGCAGTGAGTGCTCAGGAAATGTTTGTTGGATGTATGAATGAATGAGTACACAGTGAATAAATGAGCAAACAGGAAATGAGTGAATGAATGCCTTTTTCCAAATATGATGCCTATAAAAACCTTCAGTTCTTCAGCCTTTCCTCGAAGGCCTCGCTGATGCCCAGCGCTGTGCTGGCCGCTGAGGATGCAGTGACGAGTAAGGCCGGCCCGGGCTCCAGGCCCTTTCCTGCGAGGGGAGCACGTGGCGGATGCCCTCCCCCACCCACTCACAAGCACATTCTGTTTGGCGACACAGGACCCTAAGAATATGGAAACTGTTGCCTACAAATCCAGACTTCTGCTTTCTCTTGAAGAATCAGAAGAGCAGGCCATGCTGGGCCCACAGCCCCACACCACAGCCGCCAGAGAGGGCCAGGCAGATGCGACCCCCTCAGCTGGGGCACATGCTCCCTGGTTTGCCAGGGTCCCGACCACTCCCCGCTGCCCTAGCCCGAGCCTCACTTACAGCCCTGAGACACTAGACTGGATGACCTTGAGAGTGAGCTGGCAATGCCTGGTTTGAGCATTTTACTGCTGATCCCTGCAAGGAGATAGATTTTGAGTCAAAACAAAACAATGTGAGTCAGGGGATGAGAAAGATCTGGAAGCTTCCAGCATTGTCAACTCTTGTGTCTGCTTGGAGCTTCCTAAGTTCTTCTCTAAGGAGGTGCCCCGAAGCCCTTTGGGCTCCTGAACTGCCTTCCAGCCCCACGGAAATGCAAAGGCAGATGTGGGGTGGTGGTGGGAGACGCTGAGAAGGAAGGCGAGGCCAGACCAGGAAGGGCCTTGAGTGCCAGGCCACGGAGCAGCCTCCTGTCTTACTTGTAAGATCCCTTCCACGGTCGCGAGGCCACAGGTGGGCAGGTGCCGCTCCTTTGAATTAACGCCGTGCTTGCTGCCTCTCCAGGCTCCGCACGGAGATGCAAGCCCTCGCCTCCCTTTATGGAAGAAGAAAACAGGGCCCAGGGCCTCAGAGTGACCAGCCTGCCATCTCACAGCAGGTTAGTGGCACCGAGGTTAGAACCTGCTGAAAGAGGTGTTTGCAGACAGCCAAGAACCAGAAGGGAGGACTTCAAGAAATGAAAATAGAGGACGAGCTGGAGTGGATGGATTTCGAATGGATTATTTTAAATTTCTTTAATGTTCATATTGTTTTCCCAAAACCAGAGAGGGAAAGTTTTAATGGCCAAATTCAGACCAGCACCCATGGCTGCATGAAGACTTCAGTGGGCCCTAGGCACTTCTGCTTTTTGGATCCCTCCTATGTAAAAAATAAAATAAATTAAAAATTATATTTTATAATTTCATTAGCTAAAGATGAATATATTAACATTATGTGTTAAAAGTTTTCTTCAACTAAAAGTTTAGTTTTTTCTTCTGATTTTAAAAGAAATTAGCCCTGGCTGGTATGGCACAGTGGACTGAGTGCCAGCCTGCAAACTGAAAGGCCACAGGTTCAATTCCCAGTCAGGGTACATGCCTAGGTTACAGGCCAGGTCCACAGTGGGGGCGGGGGTGTGAGAGGCAACCAATTGATGTTTCTCTGACACCTCAATGTTTCTCTACCTATCTCTCTTTCTCCCTCCCTTCCCCTCTCTCTGAAAATAAATAAAATCTTTAAACTTTTTGAAAATAAAAATAAAATAAATTAAAACATTTCTGTGGGCCCACGACAGCACTGAGGCCCTGCGCCCGGGCCTGGGCCCTGAGGGAGAGGTCGCCGCAGGACCAGGCCTCCGGGCTCCCGCATCAGTGTCTTCCCACCACCGCTGTGCTCCTCGGTGCTAGTTACAGCTTTTGTGCTAGGTGTCTTGCCGTCTCTTTTTCTTTAACAGTTATATTGAGAAATAATTCACGTAACATGTGATTCACGTTTTTAAAGTATGTAATTCAAAAGTTCCTTAGTGTGTTCTTAGTATATTCCCAAGGTGTGTGACCATCACCACAACCAATTCTAGAGATTTTCATCACCCCCCAAACAACCCACGCCTACCCATCAGCCCCCACGCCCATCCCTCCCTACCCTGGGCAGCCGCTGCCCAGCTTTCCTTCTCTAGGGATTGGCCTGGTCCGGCTTCCCTCACGCAGCGCGACAGTGGCAAGGCTCGCCCCTGGTGTGGCGTGTGTCAGCGCCGCGCCCCTCCTGGAGCAGAGTAACGCCACAGGATGTGAGTGCACTGTGTCTTATTCATCCTCTGGTCAGTTATGGACGTTTGGGTTTGTTTCCACTTTCTGATTACTTATGAACATTCATGTACAGGTTTTTGTGTGAGCAAGTTTTCATTTCTCTCAGGTAGATACCTACGAGTGAAAATCCTGGGTCATGTGGGAATTCTATGTTTAGCCTTTTGGTAACTGCTAGACTGTTTTCCCAAGGAGGGGCGCTGTGTCACAGTCCCTCCAGCAATGCATGAGGGGGCTGATTCCTCCACATCATCGTCAACACTGGCCACTGTCTCTCTCTTTTTTATTATAAGCATCCTTGCCAGTGGGGAGTGGTGTCTCATCGCGGTTTTGATTTGCCTTTCCTTAATGGCTAGTAATACCAAGTATCTTTTCATGTGCTTATTGGCCATTTTCAGAGAAATTCAGGTCTTTTGCCCATTTTTAATTGTACTATTTGTCATTTTATTATTTCGTTGTAAGTCTTCTTTTATACTTTGCATATAAATACCTTATCATATGTCTTATTTGCATATATTTTCTCCCATTCTGTAATAGTCCATCCACTTTTTGAAAATATGTTATGTATTTATTGTTAGAGAGAGGGGAAGGGAGTGAGAAAGAGAGGGAGAGAAACATCAATCAGTTGGGACCGGGAATCGAATGCAAATTGAACAGGGACCCCTTGCTATACGGGACAAGGCCCAGCCCACTGAGCCGCCCTGGTCAGGAGCCAGGGCTTTTTTCACTTTCTTGATAGTGTTCTTTAAATTGCCAGAGTTTCTAATTTTAATGAATTTAATTTGTTTTAACTTTTAAATTTAAAGAATTTTTATCTAATTTTTCTTTTGTTGCTTATACTTTTCTGTCATATTTAAGAAGGCTTTGCCTAACGCAAGATCGTAAAGATTTAGTCTTATTCTTTCTTAGAGTTTTATCATTTTAACTCTTACCTTTAGGTCCATTATCCATTCAGAGTTTGTTTACATGTATAGTGTCTAAAAGAGGTTCAACTTCATTCTTTTGCATATTGACATATAATCGTTCCATTTGTGGAAAGACTATTGTCTCCTCTTTGAATCATCTTGGCATCCTTGTCAAAAATTAATTGACTGTAAATGTGAGGGTTAATTTTTTTGCACCCTCAATTCTACTCCACTGATGTATATGTCTATCCTTATATAGGTACCACACTGTTCTGTTTACTGTAGCTTTACAGAAAGCTTTGAAATTGGGAAGTGTGAGTCCTCCAACTTTGGTTTTCATTTTTAAAATGATTTTGGCTCTTCTAGGTCTCTTGCATTCCCATATAAATTTTAGAATTATTTGTCAATTTCTGCAAAAAGCCA